TTCGAAAGGAAAATCATTCACATAATATAGAAGAGATAGAGTAGAGCCCCAGATATATTTATACTTGTATATTTGTATTTCGTTCATATCATAAATGCATACACAAGGACAATAGCACCTGCAACAAACCCCTGCAAGCTGCGACTCATTTACAAACCCTGCACATAGCATTTTTTTTAGTTTTTTAGTACACCGCTAAAAAATTTGTCCAAAAAATCTACAGAATAAACAAATTAAAAAAATGTGTCTATATGATTTCTTACGGAGTAAATACTAGTACATGCTTAAGACAAGAATAGAAATAAAGTTCTTTAGCACAAGAAACTACACATCAAGGCTTAGTATGACATAATGAATGAAAGATAGATGAACAAAACTATACGTTAGAGCTCAGTCGTCGAACTATTATCATAGCCTATCCTTAGACACACTTCTAATACTGTAAACAATAAAATTATGAATCATCAACTCCAGTTGCAATAAGTGCACTTGCCGAATTGGCAATAGATCCCAGCATTAACAACAATACATGATGCTTGTTGAATGAAGGTACAAATACGGCTTGGAAACAGAGAGAGAGAGAGAGAGAGAGAGAGAGAGAGAGAGAGAGATGAACTAATGTCTCAACTGTTGTACGGATAAGCTGAAACCTTAAACTTCCCGAAGAGGTAGGAAGAGGAATCGTCCAAATCCTGATGATGATCCTAGAAAACTTCCCATCAAAATTTGGGATCAAACCAGGAACGAAATAATTGGAATTAAATCACATAATAAGACGAAATAGGCTAAGTGCAATAGTTAATTAAGAGGATTCATATAATGCTTCTGATTAGATTAAATTAGATAACTCACAAAAATTATAATGGAAATAATTCACATAATTAACTATTGTGCTTAGGCTAACTCGAGACTCAAAAAACTCGTTTAGTTATCAGAATTCAAAAGGTTCGCCTGGTTAATATGACAGATGAAAAAGATACGCCCGATCTAACTCAGAAAGCTTGTTCATTGCCTCAAATTAAATTAAATTGAATACACATCACATAACATATGCATACTGGGATATTGTATTTTATTCATATCACACATACACAAGGACAATATAACTTGCAAGAAACCTTGCAAGCTGCGACTCTTTTACATTACCCTGCACATTACATTCTTTTGAGTACACTCCCAAAAAATCTAAAAAGATTAAAAGAAGAAAACCTTAATGTTCTTATTGAAATGACCACGACAAAGCGCAGAAAAACTCATGCGACGCCGCAGCCCTTTAGATATTTATACACACCCTACTATACATATATTTGGACACATGAAGCACTGAAGAGTACCTTGTGCAACTTTATTTACCAAGCCACCATCTTTGATCTCTGTCCCTTCAATTTTGATTTTGCATCATGCACCATTGGGACGATGCGATGTTTCCCAGCAATTTCCATCCACAAAACCGCGGCTGAAAATCCCTTGATCAGCCACCACTGGAAGATCAAAAGACATGGCTTCCTCCGTCCATATCCAGTCATCAAACACCGGAAAGTTGTCGCTCATGTTCCCCCAGAATATCCCATTTATTCCTTCATTGTTCACACCACTACTCATATTCTTTTCCACTTTCATGCCGCCCTGCTCCAGGGTCTCAGCCTCACCAGAATTATAATTTCCGTGGGGCCGATCCACTTTCACATTCGGAAAATTATTGTGAATAACAGGTACTGCAATATCTTTCACAGAAGCAGCATAACATGCAGGATTAGTCCCAGTACCTGATGGATTGTTCTGCACAAGGGTTTGGTTCGGGATTTGAGGTGGCACGCTGGGATTGGCCGACGAGGGAAATACTTGATGCTGCAGGTGCTGATTCAGTTGATGATGATGATATTTAGGGGCTTGCTGATCTGGCAAATTGAGCTGCGCCTTCGAACCGTAGAGCTTCCGAGCGGCGGCATCATAAGCCAGAGCAGCCTCATAGGAGGTGTCGTAAGTCCCAAGCCAGAGCCGGGGGCCGCGGTTGGGCTCGCGGATTTCCGCCACCCATTTCCCCCACGTCCTTTGCCTGACGCCCTTGTAAGTGCACATAGCGTTCTCCGGCCCTCCTTTTCCCCTCATGCAACCCTTCCTCGAGCTTCCCTGCACTGGCCTCTTCGCCAGCTTCTTCTCCGGAACCCCAACACTGCTACTACCACCACCCATCTCCCACTTGGACATTGTGAGAATTTTTTTAGAAGAGTTGAGGATTTTTTTTTTTTTTTTTTTAATTCGGGTGGTGAGTTTGAGAAACCATAACCCATAAGGGTGCCGGTACTTATATGAGGAGGAAGGCAGACATGACCTGAAACGTGGCTTATGGAGGAGTAGGGCTTGAATACTTGTCATGGTGAACTGGAAATATCGTGTCTATGCTAGCCTCACTGTTTAAATCTCTTATACACACTTGGTTTACACTTTTGTTTGCTTTCTTGCTCAGGTGGCAATCGGAGAGGAGCAGAATTCCAGTTTTGCTTTCTCATTTTTTTTTTCTTTATTAAATCCGAAATACAATTACATAGAAGTCGGATCATTCCAATTAACTCATATATGAATTGTAATGGAGGAATATTAGGAGGAAAAATTCTTAACTGTACAGAAGACTGACTGTGAATATATCTTTCTGAAGTGGATTGAAAGTTTGAGATAAGCTAGAAACTTGTTGACAGCTAAAATAATTGTTAGTTTTAATTTTTCTTTTCACCTTTTTAATTTAAATAACAGCTAAGATAAACATGCTAACTTTATGTTTTTATTTTTTCAAAATATTTGGAAAAGAAAGTGCTTGGGGTTTAGGGACGCTTTCTTCTTTTCTTTCTGGAGGTATTTGGATGATGGTAGTTTTTTTAAAGAGCTAAATTTCTTTGAAACCACGGCGGATATCCAGTAATAATATTATTTGGATATTAAAGTTATAAAATTATAACCTAAGAATAATAGAAAGAAACAAATGGTGTAGTTACAACAAGATTGATTAATAAGTTTTAGTACATGAAAATCGCCTGCCATAACCTAAGAATAATATAAAGGAACAAAAGTTGTTCAAAAGTTTTGAAAATTGCGGTGGTACTGCAGAATGACAGAACCACAGCCAAGTTACTCAGCTTTCCGGGAAGCTAGCTTCGGTCATGGGATTTTCGATACAAAGAGCGGAACTCATGCATTTTTCAGTTGGCATCAGAATCAAGAAGGGTATGCGGTTGAAGCTGATTCTCTGTGGTTGAAGAACAGATATCGGAACAGTTTTGAAAAGTCATCATCCTTAGCTGCATTCTAGATCTAGTTTTCAATGCCCTCCAAACCATGTAGACTTGCTGCACAAGTTTTCACTCACCTGCCATACCTAATGTTTGCAGAAGTTGTTTATATATGTGTAAATTTAAAAGTAAAAGAGATGGGAACAGTGAGAGAGGTTTCATGTAATATATATAGAATACCACTCTAATCATCATCCTGAATAAAACAGTCTGTTTTCCATCCAAAGATAAAACAATTTTCGCTGCTGTTTTTGTGTTGTCACTTGTCAGTCACCACTTTCTTTTTATCCTTTTTTGAAGAGAAAGGGTTTCATCACAGATGAAGTACGGAAGTGAATTCAAAACATTTTTTTTTTTTCTTGTCCGTCTTTTTATATTAACATGAAGAGTCTTATGAATTCTGAGTTAGATCACGCGAGCAGGCTCTATGAGTTCTGACTATAAAATTTCCAATCAAAAGTTGAAATCAAACCAGAAATGGAGCTAATTGAAATTGTGTCATAACAAGATGAATAGACGAAATAATCCAACTGTCGTGCTAGGCTAACGTATACGACTCATATAATGCCTAAGATTATATTGAATTGAATAACTCACATTTAGAATGGAATAGAAAGACAAAATAGACAAAATAATCAATCTGTATTTAACTCAAAACTCAGAAGACTCGCCTGATTGATATAGGACGAAATAATTTAACCGTCATGTCTAGTCTAACTCATAACTTATAAAGCTCGTTCAGACCTGATGAGATTAGACTAAATTAGATAATTCACAAGATGAAAAAAAGAATTAAAGGAAATTGAGGGATAAAAACAAAGCAGGAGTGTGAAGAAAAAATGTGTGTATGGCCTACAGATTAAACGGATCGAATTAAAAATAAAAATAAAAAAAATAAAAAATTTGGGGGATAAAAGAACATGAGTGTACAAAAGAAGAAAAATAGTGTGCCTATATCATTCTTACAAAGTAAATAACTAGTACATGCATAATTAAGACAGGAAGAGAAACAAAGTTCTTTGGCATAAGAAACTACACATCAAGGCTTAGCATGACAAAAATGAATGGAAGAGAGATGAATAAAGCTACATATCAGAGTTTAGTCGTCGAACTACTATCATAGCTCCACCCTTAGACACACTTCAAATATGGTAAACAATAAAATTACGACTCATCAACTCCAGTGGCAATAAGTTGCAGAATTAGCAATAAATCCCAGCATTGACAAAAATACATGATGCTTGTTGAATGAAAGGGACAAACATGGCTTGAAAACAGAGATAGAGATGATCTAATGACTGAAATGTTGTACGGATAAGCTCAAACCTTAAACTTCCCCAAGAGGTAGGAAGAGGAATCCTCCAAATCCCGATGATGATGGTAGAAAACTTCCAATCAAAATTTGGAATCAAACCAAGAAAGGAAGTAATTGGAATTAAAACTCATAATGAGACGAAATAGGCGAAGTAATCCAACTGTTGTGTAAAAGTTAATTCAGAAGACTCATAGGGTGCCTCAGATTAGATTGAATTAGATAACTTACAAAAATTAGAATAGAAATCATTCATAATTAACCATTGTGCCTATTGTAACTCAGAAAACTCATCTAGTTAACTAAGAACTCAAAAGGCACATACGAACAAGAAAGGTCTTGATCTAACTCAGAAAGCTCATTAATGCCTCAAATTAGATTAAATTGGACAACAAATCACAAAATATAGAAAGAAATAGTAGAGCTACAAATACATTGTTTACTTGTATTTGCCTTTTATTCATATCATACATACACACAATGGCACTTGCAACAAACCCTGCAAGCTGCGACTCTTTTACAATACCCAGCACATTACATTCTTTAGAGTACACTCCTAGACTTAAAACTAAAAGCATTAAAAAAAGAAAGCCTTATTGGTCTGGTTTATGATATATAAAGCACATTGGAATGACCACGACAAAGCAGAGAAAAACTCATGCGCGCCGCAGCCTTATGGACATTTATACATACCTCTATATATTTGTACTATATATACACCCCCTACTATATATATTTGCACATATGAAGCATTGAAGAGTACCTTGTGCAACTTTATTTACCAAGCCACCACCTTTGATCTCTATACCTTCAATTTGATTTACATCATGCACCATTGAGACGAGTGCGATGTTCCCAGAAGTTTCCATCCACGAAGCCACAGCCGAAAATGCCTTGATCAGCCACCCCGGGAAGATCAAGCGACATGGCTGCCTCCGTCCATATTGAGTCATCAAACACCGGAAAGCTCTCGCTTATGTTCCCCCAAAATATCCTATCGATTCCTTCATTGGTCACACCACTACTCATATTATTTTCCACTTTCATGCCGCCCTGCTCCGGCAGGGTCTCAGCCCCGCCAGAATTATAATTTCCGAGGGGCTGATCCACTTTTACATTCGGAAAATTATTGTGAATAACAGGTACTGCAATATCTTTCACAGGAGCAGCATAACATGCAGGATTAGTCCCAGTACCTGATGGATTGTTCTGCACAAGGGTTTGGTTCGGAATTTGAGGTGGCACGCCGGGATTGGCCGGCGAGGGAAATACTTGATGCTGCAGGTGCTGATTCAGTTGATAATGGTGATAGTTAGGCGCTTGCTGATCTGGCAAATTGAGCTTCGCCTCGGAACCGTAGAGCTTCCTGGCGGCGGCATCATAAGCCAGAGCAGCCTCATAGGAGGTGTCGAAAGTCCCGAGCCAGAGCCGGGCCCCGCGGTTGGGCTCGCGGATTTCAGCCACCCATTTCCCCCACGTCCTTTGCCTGACGCCCTTGTAAGTGCACATAGCGTTCTCCGGCCCTCCTTTCCCCCTCATGCAACCCTTCCTCGAGCTTCCCTGCGCTGGCCGCTTTGCCAGCTTCTTCTCCGCAACCCCAACACTGCTACTACCACCACTCATCTCCGCAACCCCAGCACTGCTATTACCACCACTCATCTCCATCGTCGACATTGTGAGAACTTTTTGAGAAGAATTGAGGATTTTTTTTCGTGATTTTTTTATTTAATTCGGGTGGTGAGCTTGAGAAACCATAACCCGTAACGCTGCCGATACTTATATGAGGAGGAAGGCAGACATGACCTGAAACGTGGCTTGTGTAGGATTAGGGCTTTGAATACTTGGCATGGTGAACGGGAGATATCGTGTCCATGGCTAGCCTCATTGTTTAAATCTCTAATACACACTTGGCTTACACCTTTGCTTACTTTCTTGCTCATGTGGCAATCAGAGAGGAGCAAAATTCCAGTTTTGCTTTCTCATTTTTCAATTTTTTTTTCTTTTATTAAATTTGGAATACAATTACACAGAAGATTCACGTCGGATCTTTAACTCAGAGATAAATTGTAATGGATGAATAACAGTAGAAGAGAAAATTTTCAAACTATACAGAGCACTGACTGAGTATGACTTTCTGGAGCTGATTGAAAGTTCAGATAAGTGAAAAGTGGATGAATAACAGTAAGAGAGAAATTCTTAAACTATACAGAACACTAATGGTCTTTCTAAAGCTAAATGAAAGTTCAGATAAATGAGAAATAGATGAATAACAATAGGAGAGAAAAATTTAAACTGAATAGAAAACTGACTAAGCATGTCTTTCTGAAAGACTGTGAAGTTGAGGGAAAACTGTACAGAAAACTAACTGAGCATATAGATGAATAACAGTAGTAGAGAAAATTCTTCATCTGTACAGGAAACTTACTATCTTTCTGAAGCTGGCTAAGAGTTTAGATATGTGAGAAATAGATGAATAACAGTAGGAGAGAAAATGGATGAATAAGAGTAGGAGAGAATTTTTAAACTGTATAGAAAACTAACTGAGCATGTTTTTGTAAAGCTTTATGAAAATTGAGATAAGTGAGAAACTTGTTGACAGTTGAAAAAGGTGTTTGTTTATAATTTTCTTTTCACCTTTTATTTAAATAACAAGATAAACTTTCTCATTTTTTTTCAAAATATTTGAAAAAGAAAAGTATTGGATTTATGAATGTATTTTTTTCATAGAATCCGTTTTTTTAAGGGTTAAATTTATAACATTACAATGAAATCCACATTTATGTTAAAGTTGTAAAATTATAACCTAAGATTAATAGAAAGGAACAAAAGGTAGATACAACAAGATTGATTAATAGGTTTAGTTCATCTTAACCATTTGTTGTGATAGTAGACTTACAATATATATATATATATATATCAGAAATATTTGAGAAATTTACTAAAACATGTATTAGATTTTTATTTTTCATGTTAATAACTATATATTAGTGCCGCAAAACCATTTGTATTGGTGTTGGACCCATCCTGAAAGTCTTGGTGTTTGACCCATCCTGAAGTCTTAGAGATACTTGAAGAATTCACTGATACACACTCATTGCAGATTTCTTTTTAGTTCTCTCTTGTTTCTATGTATAAAGAGATAAGAACTCTATTCTTCTTCCCTCTTTTTTTTTCCCCTTCTCTTTAATTTTGTTGTCTTCAATATTTTGGAAAAGGAAAAGTGTTTTGAGTTTACTAGGAAGGGAGGGATTTGGATGAATAGTGATTTAGTAATGAAGGCTGTGTGAAATAGTTGGAGATAAGATCCTACTGTAGTTCCCAAAACGAGGGCTTGACAATTAGCAGTTTAGCACGTAAACCCGACGTCGTTGTAACCTAAATTTTCCTTTCTCCATAGCCTCAATCCGGCTGCTTCATCACTGTCGAAGCAACAAACGACTTTACAGTTTCTTTAAAATCCCAAATTAAAATCACTGTCATTGATAACCTGTCAATAAAACACCAAATTAAAATCCCATAAAAAATCAAATAAATAATAGAATTCGACTCCAACATCAAATAAAATCCCCAAGTGGGCAAATGCAGCAAGCCCTAATTACAAAGAAGATTCACGTCGGATCTCTAACTCAAAGACGAATCGTAATGGATGAACAATAGTAAGATGAAAAATTCTTATACTGTACAGAAAATTAACGAATAAAAGAAAGTCTTTTGAGGTTTATGGAGGTGTTTGGACGATGGTAGTTTTTTTAAAGGGTTGTTCGTATATCAAGTTATAAAATTATTTTGGATATAAAAGTTATAAAATTATAACCAAGAGTAATAGAAATGTACAAATGGTCTAAAGATAGACTAGATATCTCAAAGTACTCAAGAAATTTGCAGAAACATGAGTTATAGTAATCACTTGTATTTGTGTTTCAAAGAAATATTAGTGTAGCAAAACCATTTGTATTGAAGTTTGACTCCTAATGAAAGTCTTGAGATACTTGAAGAATTTACTAACAAAGACACAAGTCAGATTTCTTTTTTCTTCTCTCTTTTCCTTTATTTATAAACGAGAGAAGAAGAATATCTGTTTTTCACCTTTCTATATTTTTGCAAAGGAACGGTGTCTTGGGTTTACAAGGTAGTGAGGGATTTGGATGTATAGTGATTTAGTTATGAAGGCGGTGCGGAACGGTTCGAGAAAAGAACTTACGTTAATTAGTTCCCAAAACCAGGGCTTGCCAATTAGCAATTTAGTATGCAAACGCTTAGACACACCTCAGAGAAGATTCATGTCGGATCTTTACCTCAAAGACGAATTGTAATAGATGAATGATAGTCAGAAGGAAAATTTTAAGTTGTACAGAAACAAACTGAGTATGTCTTACTGAAATTTACTGACACGTTAGATGCTGAAACTTACTAACAGGTAAGATAAGTGAGAAACTTACTGATAGTTAAAAATTTGGATAAGAAAGTGTTTGGGATTTATGGAGTTTTTTCTTATCTATAGAGGTATTTGGATGATGTGTTATTTTTTAAAGGTTATAAAAATTGTTTCGGATATTAAATGTATACAATTATAACCCAAGAATAACAGAAAGGAATAAAAAGTGTAGATACAACAAGATTGATTAACAAGTTTTAGGATATCAGAACCATTTCTTGTGATAGTAGAGAGTCAAATTATATAACTAAGAAATACTTAAAGAATTTACTGATGCAGACACAAGTTGAATTTTCATTTTTGTATTCTCTTTTTCTTTATTGATACACAGATAAGAACTCTATTTTTTTTTCATCAATATTTTGCAAAAAAGAAAAGTGTTTTGGGTTTACTTGGAGATAAGACCATCTCCAACACATGAAACAAAACTTAAAATATAAGCTTTAAAATCCCCTCAAACTATCTCCAACCATTGGACTAAAATAAGCCCTGGGGAGAAAATATATCTCTAGGCTAGATTTCCCCAGGATTTAAATCTGACTTAAATTATTCTAGACCCACCAAACTATCATATTTCAAACATTTTTTTTGTTTTCTACATATAATCTAACTGCTGTGATCAAATGAAATGAAATCTAATGGTAAAAAAAAGATTTGACGGTCCAAAATTAAATCTAACGTCTAAAATAATTTAAGAAAATTATTTAAAACAAATTTAACTTAAAACTTTATAAATACCTATATATTTGTATGATTTTTAATTACTTATCGGAATTTAAATATCAAAATGTTCATAAAAATAAATTAGGATAATCTACATAAATTTTATTTTCAAAAAAGTGCCAAAAAAGAAAAATTAAGTTAAAATCATTATTTAATAATTTCGGACTAAATTTAAGCCATAAGGGTTAAAGAAAAAAAACAAACAGTTTCTAGATTATAATTTAAAATTTTTTGATTTAAATTTTTAAATTTTATCCTCAAGAGTTAGAGATAGTCTAAAATGAGATATTTGGATGAACGCTGATTTACGAACGAAGGAACTGTTGGATTTAAGAAGCTACGTTAGTTCCCAAACCAGGGCTTGACAATTAGCATAGCATGCAAACCGCTTGATACGTGCTGCGTTTTGCTAAATCCCCATGACAGCAGAACAGATTCAATGGATGGATCAAATGAGTTTATGATCTGTGGGTCCCCTGCTGCGAGATTTCCGAAAAGGATAGGAAGCCCAGAGAGTGCAATGGATCGTACCAGCATATTGAATCACATTCATAGGGACTGATTCTCATTTCCTCAGTTCCATGTTCACACCGTGTCATTGTTGTTGTCCTGCAGTAAATCAAGACAACATGACATACACACGTATTCGCTTGTGGTTATCCAATATTTTCAAAACCTTGAAATTGTAAAATTAGAAAAATAAATAAATGATAAATTTTATTTGTCATAGGACTCTACGTAAAGTATATTGAAATCACTAATTAAACAACTTAAATCAGATTATCAAAAAATAATAGGAAAATAATAAGGAATAAACTCTGTTAGGATTCTACATACTGAACGTACACTAACATATCTGTCATTAACAAACCTTTAAAATCACAACAACTAAAATACAACTTAAATCAGATTATAAAAAATAATAGGAAAAGAACAAAGAATAAACTCTGTCAGGATTCTAAGTACTGAACGTACACTGATATATCTGTCTTTAACAAGACCTTTAAAATTACAACAGTTAAAATACACGTAACTGACAACTATCTCGAATCATTACACACACACGTGTTCATGTTATTGTCATGCAGTAAACTTCTGCATATACACATACTTTCTACTAATCTAAGCATTTTAAATAACTTAAAATCACGAAAATTGAAATCGAAGTAAAAAAAAAAAAACATATCAATTATAGGATAAACAAAAAACCAAATAATACATTGTATAAATCATAGAATTCTTCTTACGAATCATACATTAGCATCCGCTTTTAATAATTCTCAAAAGACAATTGTCACGGCTCACATATAACATATATATAAACCTTCAAACATCACATGTTCTAGCACAAAAATACATATAAAATGTATGCATTTATCACCCTCTCATATATCAATCATTACTCTTCATTTGGTATTACTAAAAGAAATTGAACCCTAATCTAACTCCTTTATCTATTTCAAATTTCGTCACTCTCACTACTTGGACTAATACACAAAACACTGGATTGAAGAATCAAAGGAAAAAAAGATTGCAATCGTGCTCTCATTATCGTGTGTTAATACATCTTCCGCATACATACACACTCAACTTCTTATGCTCAATGCAAACGTTTACTTTGATGCCTTTTTCCTGCAAAAACCGATGGGAACATAGTGAAACTTTTGTTTAGCCTGCTGCCATTGTTACTACATATAACTAGGCAGGGGTTGCGGTGAATACACGAAATAATTTGTACAGCAAAAACTTAATATTTTATAGCTCAATCCTCCCGACCAAAAAAATAAAAAATAAAAAAACAACAACGTAGTACTCCATTTGATCGACCAAATCATAGTATAAGCAAGAATTTTTTTTCACATGATCACAATTGAAAACAAATTTCATCTCCATTTGATCGACCAAATCATAGTATAAGCAAGAATTTTTTTTCACATGATCACAATTGAAAACAAATTTCATCTCTTTTTCGAAGGCTTAACCTACTAAAATAAGTAACTGGCCTCCATAAAAACTTGAATTACATCCAGAAACTTAAAATAACTTTCATCAGCATTATTATGATAACTTTCGTCGGTATTATTAGTCTCATGACTACATTATTATTGCAGATTTGCAGTCTTACGACAACACACACTTTTTCTTGTACTTATCTAAACATTTTTTAAATCATAAAAGTTGAAGGAATTTAAAGAAAATACGAAAAAAATTAATAACATAATGAATTTCATAATATCACATCACTTTGAAAAAACATACATCTAGTTACATCAACTTTCTAAATACTGTGAGAACCCATATGTCATGGCTCATATTATAGAAAGAAACAAAACTGAGCATAAGGTTTTTAACAACTCTTAAAACTCACATATCATAACTAGTATAGAGATACAGACAAAATGATATCAATTCGTCATTCTTTGAGATCTCAATCATGAATCTTCATTTGTATTGAAAGAAACTAGACCCTAATATAGTTTTTTTTTAGTCTGACTTCCGTCCTCTCTCACTACTTGAAACAAATCGAAGAACATTATCTCATTTAGGGAAGAACATTATCTCGTTTAGGGATTTAGGCATAAACGCAAAGCAAAAAAAAAAAAATGATGTGTATTATACGAACTAATCAATGCACCTTCGGTACAGATCCTCTTGAAACTCATGGTCTCACTCTCACCGCTCGATTACAATGCTTTGTTTCAACCTCGACACTTGCACAGACCGGCTCCTTACCGCCTTCGGCATTTTGTTTAGGCTGCTGCTGTTGTTAATACACGGAACTAAGCATGATTAGTTTATGCAGTAACAGTGTCTCTCATTAAGAAGAGACTCTCACACTCAATTCCTATGCTTCGTTTATGCCTCGGCACTTTCGCAGACCTGCCCTTATCGCCTTCAACATTTCGTTTACTCTGATGCCTTTCCTGCAAAAACCAATGGCAAGACAGTGAAACTTTTGTTTACGCTGCCGCTGTTACTGCATAAACTAAGCAGGGACTGTTGTTACTAGATAGAACTAGGCAGGGGTAGCTCCAATTAACTATAACGAGCTTTATAGATTTATGCAAAATAATCTGTCAAGCAATAACTTGATACTTCATGGCTCAACCCTCCCAACAAAAAAAGAAAGAATTCTACCAGATCGACGAAACCAGTGGAGAAAAAGTTAACACTAAAGAAACAGCAAAGAAGTTTATGCATAGAATTCAAGATAATAGAAAGAATGAAAAGAAATAGTGATGAACTTACAATACACTAACTCCTACAATAGCAAGGGGTCGTGGATAGTCCTCAATATCTTTATCCTTTCTGTCTTTGGTCGGAGCTTTTGATGAAGTTACATCGGCATTCTCACCTTCAGGGACCGGCCGTTTAACTGCACCTGCAGTGCTCGTTTCTGGCTCAGAGGATGCTGTATCACAACCAAGCCTCATTATTTCTTCCGTCAGAGATGGAAGCCTGTCCTTTGCCTGAAATGAATATATATCTTAACATTAATAAAAATGAAATTTAGGAGGATATGACAGTATCTTACAGAACCATGGTATTAGTGACAAACAAAGGATAGTGATCAGAATCAGGAAGCATTTTCACGCCAGAAAAGGAAATAAAAAGAGACACAAACCTGGGGAAGGTCAATTTTATTCAACACCACTATATATGGTCGTTCAAGGTAATCAGGATTATACATTCGCAATTCCTGAAAATTATAAAACTGGTAGTTAGCATCAGGTCAAACAACAGTCAGCTAGAACGACAGTGAGGTATCTGTTATGCACACTAACTTGTCAATCAAATACAGCACATGGATAAGGGGGCACATACTTCCTTGACAGTTCTGTAGTCATTCACAGGATCCTCAGCTGCTGCATCAACAACATGGACCAATAGCCGAGTCCGCCTCAGATGCCTCAAGAAATTGCGACCAAGACCCTAAGGGAGGATAGAGTTTGAATTAAGAGAGTTGGAGCTTTAGAATAAGTGAAGAAACATGATATCAAGCATTACCTTCCCAAGATGAGCACCTTCAATAAGACCAGGCAAATCTGCCAAAGTTGCTTCAGAAGAATACATCCCTGGCCCTAAACTTGGGTCACCATCAAGGTGTCCAAGGTTTGGCATTAAGGTTGTGAAAGGATAATCAGCAATATCAGGTCTTGCAAGTGTAGTGGCGGCCAAAAGGGTTGATTTTCCAGCATTTGGAAGGCCCTGCAACAAAAGCAGGAAACATTAGGAGTCTAAAGACCATACTAGCACCTTATATAAGTAGTCTTACTCCATTTCTTTCTCGTTGAACCATGTAACACCAAAATTATAATCAAGGAAAAATTAAAACCTAACAAGGGATATTTGTTACATTTAGCCATTAACAACATCTACTGAAGGAGTCAGCAAGGTTTTCTCTTTGATTCTATTCAAAATTAATTTAATCAAAATATTTATTACTCGTTTTCTTGTGCATATAACTAAAAAGTTTTGAGATGTAACTTGCAAAAGTCTCTATTTAGATTTCCCTTCTCTCCGAAATTTGCTAACCAGTGTAAGGAACTGCTGAAGAAGCATTACCATAATACCAATAGTTAGGCATCAGCTAAACTGTGTCAAATTTTTTACAGTACAGCAAATCAAAACTGGAAACCAAATCCAATAAAGTACAATCTGGTCTGACAGATTTTGTGCTTAACATGGTGAGGTGGTGTTTCATTTTCGGAAAGCTAGGTACCAAGAATATCAGGTACCACCAGTTCCATTAACACCATGGCAATATGATAATTGAACTTCTAAGAGCAGAAGTTCAACCAGAAAAGCAACCCAATAGAGAAAAATACTTAAAAAATATAGAGCATGGGAAATCAATACTTACAACCAACCCATCAGCTCAACTCTGTCAAATTTTTCAGTAAATCAAAACTGGAAACTAAATCCGATAAAGTACAATCTGGTCTGACAGATTTTGTGCTCAACATGGTGAGATGGTGTTTCTTTTTCGGCAAGCAAGGTAACAAGAACATCAGGTACCACCAGTTCCATTAACACCACGGCGATATGATAATTGAATATGATAAATGAACTTCTAAGAGCAGAACTTTGACCAGAAAAAGCAACCCCATAGAGAGAGATACTTTAAAAAATATAGAGCATGGGAAATCAATACTTACAACCAAACCAACGTCAGCAACAACTCGTAAGATCAACTCCAAACTAACCTCCTCTCCTGGTTGACCAACAGCCAAAACCTGAAACAATTCAAAAATTACTTACAAGCTGTTTTAAACGAAACACATATGACTGATTATTTTCGTTATTGGAAAATTTGTATTTTTCTACTCCATAGAAAGGTATACACTACAGTATTAGCACAATTTTACCTTATCACTATCATCTCTCATCACATTTGTGGTCAAAGCCATCACCTTTTTCTTGCTACGCTCCGGCGTTTCTACCAAGCTAATCTGCCACAAAAGTGGAAAAAATTAAAATGTGAACTGCAGATTAGCATTGACATAATCTGCTGCACAACAGCCTTGACAAGTTAGATGATACAAAATTTGGGGCTATCACTCAATCTGTAAGAAGCAGGTTGTCTCACCCCTCCTTGTCCGCCCCTCGCTACAAGAATTTCGTCCCCTGGCCGTGCTAGATCAGCCAACAAGGTTCCTCGCTTACGCTTCACTACCGTACCTATAGCACAAATACATAAATTATAATAAGCATCCTACCACATTATCATCAGCGGTTACGCCATTGAGGGAAAAACTCCTAATTCATCACATCCACTGCAATAAATCATAACAAAAGAACACAAAACAATCTACAAACCCGGCGGCACAGGAATACGCAGAGCCGGAGCAGAAAGTCCATCGTGCAACTGGGATGTCAAGACCCCCATTGCAGCCACATTCCCACCGCGTTTTGCATTGAACCGGCTTTTCGCGTGAAATTCCAACAACGAATCTTTACCCTCATCAGCATAAATCACAACATCACCTCCATGGCCACCCACAGGAAGAACAAGGGCCCCACCAAAATCCCTTTTCAGCAAGCTCTTCCTCCTCAGCTTCTCCTTCTCATGCTTCCCCTGCGGCGGCTTGCTGGGAGGTCTCTGGTTCGGCATGGCGAGGACCGCGCCGTGGCCTCCGTCGCCGGAACGAACGGTGATGATCACCTGATCAAAGTACTTGTGAGGTTCCTTGATTAAAGTATTGGGTTTTTGAGCAGAAGATGACTCCTTGGCTCTGGTGCTAATTCGGCAGCTTACTGATAAGAATCTGACATTTTTGGACTTGTTCGACTCCTGCTCACACCTACATGTAAAACACCATCGAAATTACTGTCTACTTAGTTGTAGCATTTAAGCGTTTAGTACCGGGGGAGAAGATTTTACAGATTTGTCGGGAAACCCTAATGTTCAGAGGTTACCTTTGGGGGAAAACGGTACCGTAGAAGGAGGATTTGTGGCGGAAGAGGTAGGAAGTTGACGGTGGCGGGGAGATGAGAGACGCCATATCCGAATGGAGAAGCAGCTCGAGTGAGGGAGGGAGCGAGGGAGACAAACGGTCCAACGGACGAAGCCGAGGGCTGGCGGGACTTATAGTTTCTAACCCCAGTCCATTACTGCTTTATGGTATTTCAAAGCCCAAATAAATGGCGCGACTATTCTTTTGCAACTTTTTAACTTTTAAGCCCAAATAGATGCATTCCACTTTCAATTGGTTATGAGTTTCCCAATTTTCGACACGTGTTTGTTACTCTATACTACGATTTAGTGACTTTTTCTTTTACTTATATATAAGAGATCTGAGATTAAAATCTTTTGACGTTTTCTACACATATTAAATTTTCATTTAGCATTGTGGTCTGGAGACATTTTCTTCACTTATAAGATCTTAAATTTGAATTCCTAAAATGACGAGTTCGATAATAATGATATATATCATCATCGCTAACGGAAAAATGTGACAAATTTGACGAATAAAGCAATCGAAATAAGAAGATTAATTCATGTGGCTTTAGGGTTAAACCTCGAATCAATTTGAACCCAATAATCAAACAACTTCACTCGAGGAAGAGCTAACTGGATTTTACAAGTGCTCTACTCAAAATCTGACATTGTAATTTACAGATAGATTACACAAGTTTGCAAGTCTTAAAATAAACACCATAACATATGCAAGCCTTGCATTAATGCCTAAGCGAAAACCAATTGGCACATACCCCATCCGAGTTTTCTACGTTCATCCCCTTCGATTACTACTTTCTATACATGAAATAATGTATGACACCAAATCCACATGCGCCGACGTGGTCGGAAGCAAACTAGGCAAACTGTAGTATATGAGAATTCAACAACCGCCAATCATCCCCATCCGGTGCTGCTCCAAAAGTTTCATCCATTTAGCTTCTAAGAAAATCATTCAGAGAAAATGGGGGGTTCCCATTCTGCAAAACCACGTAGTAAGAGAGTGAGTAACGCAATCTTGCAACGCGCTACACATTTCACTTATCCTAGCAACTAATTAGTTGTTCATCCTTAGTATGTGCATATTGCTTTAACACGGATGTTTTTAGACCTCTGCAATCCCAACAAGAATATAGCACTTGGATATAGACCAAATAATCTAGTCAGTTTTTAAAATTTTGGGATAAGCATTAAATTCTGCAAAGCTAATGAAATTCCGATAGTGAAAATCGGGATTGAATTTACCCAAATTCAGCCTCGAGAACTGACACAAAAATAAAAATTAACTAACTGCATGTTACCTTGGCATTATCTTCACTCATGCATTGTCTAACTACAGTGGTCTGTTGTATTAGCCTTTCCATTGCAGAATAATTGGGCAGGTTTGAATGCTCTGAGCCATGCAACACAATAAAACAAGACATTAATGACTGTTTCAAAGACATTTATAATCAAAGAAAATAGGTATACGAGATAGGCACGGTACAGTTATCTCTGCAAAGAATCGAAACATATATGATACACAGAAGTAAGGAGAAATTTGGGAAACAAACCAAGAACTGCTCGATTCAAACTATCTGCAACTTGCTGCCGATACTCAAAGCTAAGCAAATGAAACATAGGAGACTTCTCCGGTTCTTTATAAGCCAGCAGAGCCATGAAGTCCTGAAGCAATACCAAACTTTGAGTTTCATACCAACATGAATAAACATACACAAAACATAAGCATATACTTATAAAGGAATATTTAGGAGTTTGAAGCATACTTCAAGCTTTGTGACGTATTTTTCCACCTTCCCAAAGGGGGTCAACTTGTTCTGGGCAAATTCCAAAGCTTCTGTGCTGCTAAAGAAATAAAGAATTAAAATAGCACGATGGGCACAACTAACAAGGTGTCATTGTAATTTTGCTCACCATTTTTTAGCGCAAACAAGTTCAACAAAGTGCAGGCTCAGAAGGTCAAAATGCAAGTCTTTGTTTTTCTCCACTAAGTCAGGTGCCAACTCTTCCGTCAGTTCAATTGCCTTAAGAGCTTCCCCTTCCACTGCACATTGAAAAATCCCTGAAGACAACAAAACATACATTTGGCATCGTCACTGATCAACCACTCCAATATTATCCCCAATAGCAATACAACAGCTTTCAACATGAAGGGTCCCTTTGTAAAAAATCTTGGTTCTCCGGATTCCCGGGTGGTCTGCGTGTTTTAACCTTTAGATCTTGATTTTTGTATTTTCAAACAAAGATCTTACGATTAAAACACCCGGAGCACCGGATAAGCCAGAGTACCTTAGAAAGTCCCTCCATTTGGAGCTGCTTCTGTAAGAATCACTCCTGCTTATAGTACTTTTGCTGTACTTTTATGTATTATAAACACGTTCAAACTTCTAGGCTTCTTAAAGAAGCTTCTCTAGAAAACGCTTTTGTAACCCAAAATCACTTTTTAAGTTCTTCTAACGACAATAATCAAAAGCGCTTTTAGTTGGTAGTACATGCTTTTGGAATCCTAAAAACCAATCCCCAACAGCCCGAACCATTCGATACAATGTGTTCAATCATTATATGATAGTAAAGTCGACATCATTGCAAACCTACTATTTCTTTTCTCCATATCCTCAACGCAGTCGGCAGGCTGCTTCGTCCCCGTCGAAGCAACAAACGACTCCACAGTTTCTTTATAGCAGTTATGCACAAGGTATGACAGAACAATATTGTGGATATCATTGTCATTGATAGCCTGCTAATAAAACATCAAATTAAAATCAATGAAATGCAGCAAGCCCTAATTACAAAATCAACGAGTCAATGGCTAAAATCAATGAAATTGAGCACTAATTAGATAATTATTGTACAATCCCAGGGATTTGAAGTGAAATAAGGTTGTGGAAATTGCAGTAATTGGAGAAAATAAGAACAGAAAACTGGAAACTTACAACTTGATTGAAGTGACGAGGATCGACGTCCATGATTCGCCGCGTTCTGAAATCCTACAGTGCGGAATGAGGCTGAGGAACGGAGGCGGGTGCGAATGAGGAACAGAGACGGTCCGACACGACGAACGATTGTACGTATCGGCTGGCGAATCCGAGTCAGTTCGAGTCACTGGAGATAGTGATCCGATCTCTATCTATAGTATTCACCGTGTCGTTAGGTTCTTGTACAGGTGCCTTTACGTGTCTTCTTTAAAATGTGGGGAAAGCTTGTGTCGATCAGCCAATAATTGATGCCACGTCGTCGTTTAATTGCACTCACAAATAGAGAGAACGGTTCTAATTAAGCAAGAGTAATGCTATTCAGTATTCATATTATATTTCTGTACTGCATTTTCATGCCATATTAGGTAATATTTGATGTGGACAGCCACAACAATTAAATTAATCAGATTTTAAAATTTAATTCATTATTTAATAAACTAATAATTAAAAAAAACTAGTTAATTAAATGATAATTATGGTATACGAGGAGTTTTTCTCCTTCCTCTCATTGGGTTTTGCAAATTTTTCAAATAATATGGTTGTCCACATCAGATGTCACCTAAGATGGTATAGAAATATGGTATAAAAACTTGGTATGAATAGCATTACTCACTAAGTAATCGAAAAGAGTAATGATTGAGAGACTAAAGTTGTAGATTAATTTTTGAAAACTAAAGAACATAAAAGTTGATAATTAATTTGTTACTTAAGTTGCCCAATCGAAAAATATCACTATTATGAACTATAAAAAGTATAAACAATATTTTTATCATCAATAACATGTGATTTATTTTGTTGGTAATAGTTTTTTTTTTATTTATTTATTGTGGGTTCAGAACTCTATACTTAAATGTAAAGGTGAGTACTCTTAATAAATACAACCAGAAGCATTTGTCCATATTAAATGGTCTAATATAAATCTACACAACAACAACAAAGTCTTGTATCATTAAGAATTCAACTATATAAATACTAAAACACCGTTATACTCGATTTTGCACAATTTTCCTTTAGCTCCAAGTAATCGAAAAATATCAATACTATAAACTATAAAGTATAAACAATATTTCCATCATCAATAACATGTGATTTGTTTTGTTGGTAATAGCTTTTTTTATTTTTTATTGTGGGATCGGAACTCGATATCTAAGCAAAAAAATGAGTATTGTTGGTCGACCGAGATACTAGCATTATGCATTTTCTCTTCGACAACAAAAATATTTTATTCCCCTCTAAGTGGGTCAGTTGTATGAATCTTTAAACGTCATTACGCTCAATTTTGTGTAAAGTATTATATTAACTTTAAGTACTCCATGTTTTTTTCTTAAAAGTCACTTTTCAAGTTTTCTAAGGTCTCCCTCTACTCATTTTGCATTGAATCATCCATCCCATAATCGCATTTTCTAATCAAAATATATGTAGATATTCAGTTTACATGTACAAACCAAACTTAGCCGATTTTCTCCCACCCTTAACCGATTTTTTCTATCTGTAAATAAGAGTAGAGGCCCTCCTTATCGTCGACAAAGTTCGTTGTATGCAAAAGGTGGGATAACAGTTGGTTTCATCGTTAATGCTTCGTATCCGACAATGACCGGGCAAAACCCTCCTCTTCCCCTCACCTCCGACCCCGGGCCCGACCAAATGTGACCTCTTTACGCACAGCGCAGCAGGGCAAACGTGCTGTTGTGCCAAGAGGTTTCTCGGCATATGGTTTGCTTGGAGATGCTGTGAGTTGAACTCCGCTGTTCGTTGCAAGGACGACAGCCACTGCTGCCCCCATGATCACCCCATCTGTGATACAGAAAGGGCGCTCTGCCTCGAGGTTTGTATGAATCTTTCCCCGTAATACATGGGAAAATGATTTCCTCACACTCATTACCATCATTGCTTAATTTTTCTGATTATTAATACGTGATTGTCAAATTGGGCACTCGTTCGAGATTGTCAAATTAGGCACTCGTTTGATAACCATTTCGTTTTAGAATTTCAAATTTGTTAACTGAGAAATGAATTTGGAGATCAAGACACATGGATCCCATATAAAGTTATGACGTATTTGCAAATTGAACTTCTAAATTAAGAATATATCTAAAAAATCTACAAAATGGGAAAATGCAACAGTGGTATACTTTGGGTGCAATTCCGATACCTCAATCCCAATTTCCGTTCAATTTTCACACCGACGGGAAGACGTCTTTGACGGCGGAGGCATGCCGTCAAGTAATTAAGTGTGTTCCTCAGCGTCTCCTTCTCTCTCTTCAACCGCGCCGCCGTGTCCTCCAATTCCAGCAACGCCTGCTGCTCTCTCGGCGCCCCTTCAAACGTGCTCCCAACAAAAAACGAAAATAGCGTCGGAAATAGGTTCCGCCGCAGGTCCTGCACATCCTTCTCCGGCTTCCCGCCCAACCGATTCGACAACCGAATCACATCCTTCATATGCGACTCGACCTCGTTCGCCAACGCTTCCAGGTCGTCCTCGCCGTCGCTCGACGGCCGGTCTTCAAGCCACTTGACCTCCGCCACCAGGTAGGGTTTGGTGCGGACGAGGTCGGTGATGCGAAACCGCTCCTGGCCCTTGCAGATGAGGAAGAACCGGTCGTCGACAAGGCGCTCGTGCTTGACGACCTCGCCGACGCAGCCGACGTCGGCGGTACCGGAGACGGTGTCGCTGTAAATTACGCCGAAGCGGAGATCAGACTGGAGGAGGGAGTGCATCATCATGCGGTAGCGGAACTCGAATATCTGGAGGGGGAGGATGGCGCCCGGGAAGAGGACGAGGGGCAAGGGGAAAATGGGGAGCTCGACGACGTCCCCTGATTTGGGCTGATTGGTGGGGTGGCGCTCAGAGAATGAGGAGGCTGTGCATTGGAGGGATCCGGGTCGTTGGCGGCGGCGGTGGAGGCGGGGGGAGAGGATATTAGGGTTAGGGTTTAAGCGGGAGGGGAGGGGATTGGGGTTGAAGGTGGGTTTATGGGGGAGGGAGGAGGAGGAAGAGGAGGGGATGAGCTGAGGGAGAGCCATTGGAGCGGCGTTGGGATGAGGAGGAGAGGGAAAGCGAGTTAGAAGGCCATGTTTGTGGAGGGAAGAGAGCGAGAGTAAGAGTGACCAGTTCTTTCTGTTTTTCTGTTTCTCTCCCTCTAAATTTTGAGAAAAAGTGGCAAAATCTGGTGGTTTTAAGGAGGCGAAAGGAGATGTGGATAATATGGAGATAGAAAGGGCAAAAATGTCAGTCAACTTAGCAAATACCCATTTGGTCTATCATTTGGTAAGAATGAAATACATGTAACGAGTTTATAGTTATGATTCGTTATGCTTTTTAAATGATTGAAAAGGTTTCATAGAAAATAATATTGGATTTTAAAAGCATTATGTATTTTTGTAGGAAATATTTTAATGTTTTTTTAAGATCACTCGCATTTTACAAAAAATTAGATTAAAAAACATATTCATAAAAAACACTTTGAATTATTTTAAAAATATTTCAAATGAGTCTTATATTCTTTTCGTCACATAATAATATTATTAAAGTAAAACATCTTGGTGATAATAAACTCATGTAATGTAATTTGTTCTTATCATTTGGTAGATGGCAAAGGATTTGGAAATATGGGGAGTGTTTGGATGTGGTTTTAGATTTTCCCACGTGGAAGTTGGGCCGATGATTTCTATGGTTTGGGTTGGTCTATCATTTTCATTCAACACACAAAAATCTTCAAACACCATTTTTATTTGTCTTCATTTTCATCCAATAGCGTGGATGTTGTTAGGATAATGATTTTGCCAACTCTCATTTTCCAATCTTCTTTTGTTGTTGTTTCTTAATTCTCTATTAATTTCTTCTTTCACCGGTTAAAAAAAAAATACAAAAAGAACTAAAAAGAAGAAAATGAAGGGCATAAACTCTATTAATATTCAAAATAAACAAAATGCCGCTATTGTTTAATTCTATTTATTTATGTTGAAGTTTATCGACCTTTAAGAAGTTAATTTACAAAATATAATTATAAATTTAGTTTTTCTAACAGTTATCTATCAACATGGTTGGCTTGGCTCCATTGCCTAAACGGCAAAAATGACGTTTTTCTAACAATTATCTATTAACATGGTTGGCTTGGGCCCATTGCCTAAATGGCAAAAACGACGTATTTCGTGGAAGGTGGAAGAAAAGAATATTACTAGTTTGAAATGTGAATTTGAAGATAATAAATTAGTAAAATATGTTTTTTTAGCAAACAATAAAATAATCATTAACACTAAATTCATCTAAATTAGAAAGAGAAGAGATTCAGAGCTACAAATTACTTGCTGTTAATGAAAAAAGATTGAGAAATGCCTCGTTTAAATCACTCAAGGCGGCGAGCCCCATCTACAACCGCGTGGAGTATATTCCTATTTGGACCTCTGTCCAGGTTCATTTGGACGACATAATACATTACGTCACTGCGTATGCTACAGAGACCACCACGTACGCCGTTCACATTATGCCATTTCCGCAATTAAATCGAAAAATTAACCCTTTTGGTTAAGATCGGCAGCCTCTATATATACGCGGAGCCCCCACACCCATATTCCCAAATATCGCAAAGAAAATCGTGCTCTGAAAATCCAAGATTTATTGAAAGAAAGCGAAGAAGAAGAAGAAGAAAATGGCGGAAGAAAAAGTGATCGCCTGCCACTCTGTCGCCGCCTGGACCGAGCACCTCGAGAAGAGCAATGTCGACAAGAAACTGGTTTTTTTCTTTCTTCTCACAGACTTCATTTTTTTTTCAATTTGCATTCTTTCTTGAATAAGTTAAATTAAAATTTTAATTTTGTGTTGTATTTTGCGATCAGATTTTTTGTATTTTCTTGTTGGAATTTTAGGGCAATTTTTTTAAAGAAAATGCTAGCTTTTGTCCCTGAACTTTTGTCTAATTGGAGATTTAGTCTGAATTTCATTTGGCTTGTATATTGCTTAACCAATTTGATATGTAAATTTGGTGCCTGCTGTAAAAGCTGGTGGTTGGTTTGGTCGATTTTGGGTCCCGTGTTGACCTGTTTGCAGGAAAATATATGATAAAAACTTCTCGTCTTGTCGCCAAGTTTTTAGCCGTGTTGGGTTCGAATGTATGCAATTATTTTCTCAGCTTTTCATGATTGATTGCTTTAAGCGACCGCGTATGAGGTTGATTTCATGTTTTCTGTATACAATGTTTAGCGAATTAAGATCACTAATTTGGGCTATATTTCAATAGATTGTGGTCGACTTCACGGCTACATGGTGTGGACCTTGCCGGTTCATTGCACCCATCTTCGCGGAGTTGGCTAGGAAGAACCCGGAAGTGACATTCCTAAAGGTGGACGTGGATGAGCTGAAGACTGTTACCGAGGAGTGGGGCGTGGAGGCAATGCCGACCTTCTTGTTCCTCAAGGAAGGAAAGGTTGTTGACAAGGTTGTGGGTGCTAAGAAAGAAGAGTTACAGCTCAAAGTTGTGAAGCATGCCGCTCCAGCTGATGTCGCAACTGCTTCTGCTTAGGCTTTTCGCACTCACTTTCGAGAATATGAACCTCCTACTTTGTTTTACTAGTTGTTTATAACTTTTATGGGTTCCTGAAGACATGAATGTTTTATATATATATATATATATATATATATATATGATTACATGTACCTATATGATGCCTTGAATCTACTATCTATGAATAAGAATTTCAATGATAAGATGTTATGATATATTTCAGGGTAAATTAGACAGAATTACTTCAACTATTGGATCATTAATTGTTTCATACATCGTCTTTAAAAAGTTTCAATGTCATACCGTATCTTCGAATTTGTTGCAATATCATATCTTCCGTCAGTTGTCTATAAATTCCTTTGTTAAATGCTGACGTGACACACTTTTTATTAAAAAAAACTAATAAAATATTATTAAAAACTAAAAAAAATCGTTTAATATTTTTTAAATATTAAAATAATAATTAATTAAAGAAAAGTTATTTATTAAAAAAATATTATAATAATAATAAATAAATAAATAACTTCAAACCCCCCCCCCCTTCCCCCCAAAAAACACACAAAGCCCTGCAACCCAGAAAGAAAGAAAGAAAGAAGAACAAGAAAAAGGAAAAAAAAAAACCCCATATTCATCTTCCCCGACCCCCTTTCCCTGGAACCCACCCCTTTCTTCCTCCTCCTGTCTTCCCCTTCCCTCCTCCGCACCCACCCTCACACCCACTACCTGCAACCCAGATAAAAAAAAAAAAACCATCTTCATCTTTCCCATCCCCCTTTCCTTGCAACCCAAATCCCGTCTTCTACCGATTCAGCAGGTGGAGAAATTGGGCAAAAAGAAAATGGGGGGAATGAGTGTGGATTTAAGGAGTGGGGTGTGTAGAGGAGGGAAGAGGGTGGGTGCAGAGGAGGAGGGAAGGGGAAGACAAGAGGGGGAAGAAAGGGGTGGGTTGTAGGGAAGGGGGGCCAGGGAAGATGAAGATGGACATTTTTTTTTTTTTTTTTCTCTTCTTCTTCTTCTTTTTCTTTCTTTCTGGGTTGCAGGGGGTAGGGGGAAGACAAACTTGGGGGTTTTTTTTTTTAATTAATTCTTATTTTAATATTTAAAATTATTAAACGATTTTTTTTAGTTTTTAATAATATTTTATTAGTTTTTTAATAGAAAGTGTGCCACGTCAGCATTTAACAAAGGAATTGACAGATAACTGACGGAAGGTATGACATTGCAACAAATTTGAAGATACGGTATGATATTGAAAATTTTTAAATACAAGGTATGAAACTGTTAATGATCCAATAGTTGAGGTAATTCTGTGTAATTTACCCTATATTTCATGCCAATTGGAATTGAGTTATCGCGAGACATGAAATATTAAGTAATGTTTGTATATCTTTATTCTTTCTAGATTAGTTTTTAATGATATTTGAAGTAAAAATAGCAAATTCTTTATTCAAAATATCAATGTACAAAGAGTCGAGGTCAGAGAACCTTAGGGTCCCATTTTGAAGGCTCACCTAAGGCCCCTAAATTCTCAAGACTGGTCATGTCTTACCATTTATTCATACCATCTCTCTTATGAAAATAAGATCGACATGCGCGCTAGTGTACTCTATTTTTATTAAAGCATTGACACAAATAGTGTAAAACTACCTTGAAGAAAATATATGTTGGGCTTTAATCAATTTATGGAGGTGAGCCCCATCTACAACCGCGAGGAATGTATCCCATTTGGGCCTCGTCCAGGTTCATTCGGCCAGACCTGCCCTCACTACATGACAAAATACATTACGTCACTACGGATGGTATGCGCGCGCGTACACCGTTACCAGCACAAACGTTATTCAAACATAATGGCATTACTGCAATTAAATCAATTATTAAGCCCTTTTAGTTAAGATCGGCATCCCGCCATATATATAAATATATATATGTATATATATATATATAGTATATATATATATATATATATACACGCGGAGGCCCGATCTCGTTCCCAAATCATCGCAAAAGAAAAATGGAGCTCGGAACAACTTTAGATTTATGGAAAGAAAGCGGAGAAGAAGAAAATGGCGGAGGAAAAAGTGATCGCCTGCCACTCAGTCGCCGCCTGGACCGAGCACCTCGAGAAGAGCCACGTCGACAAGAAACTGGTATTTTTTTCTTCTCACGCACTTCATTCTTTTCCCTTTTGCATTTTTTGTCGAATAAAGTTTAATTTTAGTATTCTGCTGTTTTGTGATGTATTATTGAATGATTGTAATTTGTGATCAAATTTTTTTACTTTCTTGTTCGCCGTATTGGATTTGTGGCTAGAATTTTAGTGCAAAATTTTAAAAGAAAAAATTGTAGCTTTGGGGCCTAAACTTTGGTCTAATTGAAGATTTGGTCCTTGGATGATAGAGGTGGCAAATCAATTTATTGGGTTGTTAACGGGCACCGATAAGAATCATTAACAACCCAATAGGTTGATTCGCCACTTCTACAGTTCTATTGGATGGTACTGGTCCTTAAAGTTTAGTCTAACCAAAGCACCATTGCTCCAATTCGACTAAAGATGATGGACCAATTCTCCTATTTTCTCTTTTCCAATTCATGCACAAGAATCATGAATGGGGTGTATGGCAGATTACCGTTGGAATTTTGCTACGTATGGCTTGTACATTGCTTAACCGATTAGATATGTAAATTTGGTGCCTTTTGTAACAGCTGGTGGTTGATGTGGTCGATTTTGTGTCCTGGATTGCCCTGTTTGCAAGGAAATATATGATGCAAACTTCTCGTATTGTCGACGAGTTTTAGCCATGTTGGGTTCGAATGTATACGATTATTCTCTCAGTGATTCCTCTGTGGAGAATGAAAATGTCATCTTTTCGTGATTGATTGCTTTAAGCGACCGTGGTTGATTTCATGTAATCTTTATTTAATGTTTAGCGAAGTAAGTTCACTAATTTGGTCTATATTTCAATAGATCGTGGTCGACTTCACAGCTCGATGGTGTGGACCTTGCCGGTTCATTGCACCCATATTCGCGGAGTTGGCTAGGAAGAGCCCGGAAGTGACATTCCTAAAGGTGGGACGTGGATGAGCTGAAGACTGTTACGGAGGAGTGGGGCGTGGAGGCAATGCCGACCTTCTTGTTCCTCAAGGAAGGCAAGGTAGTTGACAAGGTTGTGGGTGCTAAGAAAGAAGAGTTACAGCTCAAAGTTGTGAAGCATGCCTCTCCAGCTGATGTCGCAACTGCTTCTGCCTAACTTTCGCACTCTCTTTCGAGAATATGAACCTCCTACCGTTCTTCACTAGTTGTTTATAACTTTTATGGGTTTCTGAAGACATGAATGTTTTATATATATGACTACTTGTACCCATATGATGCCTCATGGCTGCTATCTATGAATGCTTTTAATTCAATTGAATTGAGATTTCGCGACGAATTGGAAACTTTCGTATTTGCATTGACATAATTTCGAATTCTTGTTAAGTGTCGGGATTGCCCATATACTGGGGAATGGGGGAGCCATAAACCAAACTAAAGGCAAAAGCACTTGCCTGTACCTAACAAACTACTTAAAGGCAAAAGCACTTCTGTACCTAACAAACTACTTAAAGGCAAAAGCACTTGCCTGTACTTGAACAACAAACTACTTAAGGCAAAAGCAAAAGCACTTCGCCTGTACTAGCAAACTACTGTGCCCTATCAAATTGTGAAACCAAACACCTTAATGCCTTTATCTGTCTTGATTCTTTTGCTTCATAGCTTGCATGGTGTGCATATTCTGTTATCTGTGTTTTGAAGTTTTTCTCCTCGTGCGATGTCTTCATCTCCTTGAATTGGGTTGATTGGTTGTAATTTCCGTCGAACAAACAGCTTCAACTGATAGCCGTTTGAGTACATTCGGACATGGATCTGTCTTGAAAATGCTATTGGTTACAGCAACCGAGCAACTCTCGCGGCTGATACAATTCTGCAAGACATGTTAAGTTGTGAACAGATTATGTGGAAGGACAAGAAAATATAAGAACAGGAAAGATTATGGAGAGGGGGTAATGCCTTCTCCACCACGGCGTGTGAGTTTGTCGCGTGACACGTTCCTTGCTGGAAACTCCCACAAGTTCCAGTAGGAGTTCCGAAACTTGCAAACTTAATGCTCGAGATAGACTGCCCCGGTGCACACTGCAGATGAACCTGTGCTTGGTGAAGCGTTTTAGAATTTTCATTGCCCTCAACATCAAAATTTTCGACATTTGGGTGGTTCTCATGTAAGTCACCACAAACACCGGTCACTGATCTTTTCACAAGGGTAATCTTCGATGGATCTCCGCCTAGTTCCTCAAACACTACCACCAAATTTTGCGTCGGCTTTAACCATGAACGAGGAACATGATACCATTGTTGAGTTGGTTGGCCACAGCCAAGTTGACATTCCGTGGGACGGAATGTCCCAATGTAACTGCACGAACTGCAGTCACCTTTGGCATAAGCCATCCAGTATCTACCGATGCTCTGCCCATTGATCCATACTTGTCCCTTTCCCATGCTACTCATGTCCAACGCCAATGGCTCATTTCCTCCGGGTGCATTGAAATAAGCCTGCACAATCCAAGACAACGTTTAATTTAGCTTCCAAAGCTTACTGCCTGACTAGTTTTCATCACTATCTCAAAATCCTTACCTTGTACCATTTCAACATCTGCTTGGCTTGGGTAGCTAGTGACCCCCGGATCCAATCAACTGATGAGGCTCCGTTTAGAGAGACTAAATTCATTTCTTCTCCCTTAAGGCCGACCTGTTTGAAAGATTTTACTATGAGATTCAAACCTCAGCGAAAAGTAGAGAGGGTGAGAGTAACAAGTAACAGAGATGTATTTTTGGGAGGTTGTCTGACCTTGTAGAACCACTTCTGCGACGTTAAGTCTTTCTTTCCGTGGCCAAGACCATCCAGAAAAACCGGACCTTGGATTCCTGTTTTCCATGACTCATAATGCAACCCAACATTCTTCAACACCGAAACAAAATGTTTATCAGTAACCAAGTTCATTAACGGGCATCATCATTGAGTTTACGTGCACAATTTTACATTCGGAGTCAATGAGCTATGAGTAAGGCACTAACTGGTAATCCAACAGCTATGCTGAGCAGTGCAATTCTGTTTATTCCAGCACGGAGGTTGACTGGTTCAGCAAATGTGAATTGCCTCTGCTCCCTAGTTCCAAACGCCGAACCTATAAAAAATTATGATTATGTTTTTGTTCTAGTCAAGAGTAAATTCCTGCTCGCTGTCAGAAAACAAAAATTTCACAGCATACCTGAATACTGTCCGTTGACGAAGACATGGAGGGCATGACCAGCTGACTGCACAGTAAGAGTAGGCTTTTTTCCTCTGCCGAGGTCTGATGAACTGATGTCAACACTGAATAGCATGCAAACCGAGATGTCAAGTATGACGTAGATTAAGAAACAATTTTTGAAAGAAAGGATTGTAAGGCTGCTCACTTCGTCATGTACCACAGATAGTCACTAGTATCTCTAGTAACATTTATCTGCTCTAGAAGTCCAACAGCCGGTATGCTTGACCCATCGTTTAGAGAAGAGATATCTTCATCGTAAGTCTGCCATGAAAACAACGGACTGTTCGTCGGGATCATCTGCACGTGTGACGTTTGAACTCCCACCTTGATGAAAAGCCAGTTGTATCAATAACTTGAGATACAGAGATACAAATTTATGAATAAAAGGACTTGCAATACGAGCGCCAACATCTTTACTTACCTTTGCGGTGTTGAATACTTCATTCCTGCAATCAGGAAGGATGCTAACAGACCAAGGAGGCAAATCATAGTGCAAGTTATTGAAAGTCACTCTTGCTCCTGTTGAATGGAAGTTTGAGAGAAACGCTGCGCATCTATTTGGTCCTGAATTGAATACATAAGCCTGGAAGATAACCGAGACATGAACAGATTTTTCCGTAAGGTTGATAATGTAGCAGAGATCGTCCAATTGAAGAAATTATGTGCATTCAAGAAGCCAAACCTGATGATAGGTTCCTAGTGAAGTGACGGTAGGCTCTGAAGAGAGTAAAGAATGTTCACATAGCCTGATAGCCTTGTGAAGCTCCTTCAGATGACCATATTTAGGTTCTCTGATCAAACCTAAAAACAGTTGAGGGGTGATGTAAGAGCTCAAGACGGAAATCGAAATTCACTGTATTTTGAATTTTCATCGAAAATGTTTAGACTTTCATGCTAAATTTGTACCATATTCATCAATGGGAGCATCATAGTCGTAACTGGTTGTAATGAAGGGGCCTCCAGCTGTTCGTCCAAAGTTTGTTCCTCCATGATACTGTCATAAACCACAAATGGCGAAACTCAAATTTTGAGCCGGCACATATTAGTCTTTTAAAACTTGGAACTGACGGACAAGGAAACTAACCATGTAGTAATTCACATATGAGCCACCCTTCTGTATGAATCGACCAACTGCGAATGCTAAATCTTGGACAGGTCGATGGTGAATTGTGCCACCAAATTCTGTAAACCTAATAACATTTTGTTGCATTGAATTAGAAGAATGAACGTGAATACAGCCAAATTCCGACCATGGGTTAAGATCGTCTTACCAGCCGCTCCAAGCTTCCGTCCACATGGCAGGCTTGTAAGGTTTGTTGGGAGTGAATCCATCACAGTAAAAACCGTTGCATGCATTTATCTGCAACCAAGACATAATCAGTACAATAACATTGAGCGAGGACTATAGGTATCAGGGTTATCCAATCCACTCCAGTCCTAGCACACCTAGAAAACCGAAGAGAACAAGATGGCTAACCATAGGGTCTGGGGCATCGTCTTCCTTGCACATCACCCATGGGACTCCGGTATCCAATCCAACCGCCATTTGAGCAGCCCAGTTAATGTAGTTATGGCCAGCAGCTCCCAATGCCTTGCTCTCCGGTCCATACTCATTCTCAATCTGCACCACACAAAGTTCAAACATTGAATCGAACAAGTTCATCAATGAATTCAAACATTTCGATAAAATGTACTCGAATTCCAGCGGATCAAATTGACCAAAACTGAATACATTACCTGGGAAAGGATGATGGGACCACCTTGTGATGCAAATAGCTTCTCATCTTTCATCATCTGGACAATCTTCTGGGTGAACCCTTGCATTGCCATCTTCAACCAAAAAACAAAACAAAGAATGAAGTTTCAAAGTTTTTTCATTTTACAAAGCAATATTCTAAACTACTGTAGAATCTACAGAAGGGGACGACGAGCACATTGCTTTAACCAACTGACCTAACCCGCGTCTGCTAGATCCATGAGCTCTACAGTTAATCCTCTAATTTCATCACATTCTAACAAAATTTAGAGCTTTCAGTAGAAATTTTCAGGAAGAAAAATACCTTAAATGGCCCATTATCTGTCCTGAAACTGATGCCGGGTACATATTTCAGCCAAACAGGAAATCCTCTGCACAAAATGGAGTCAAACTTTAAGCACCCAAGTTTCAGATAACAAAATAAATGAATAAATAAATAAATATCAGAAAAACTAAAATAAATAAATACTTCTGAAATTTGAAGCATTTACTCCTCACTGTATCAGACACAGAACGCAGATATAAGTACAACTCTAGCAAAAAAATATAACAAAATAAATAAATAAATAATGAATGGGAAAGTACGGTACCCAAAATTCCACTCTGCACAAACATAAGGCCCAATGCGCAGATGAAGAAGGAGCCCTGCTTTCTCTACTGTCTTTATGAACCCTACTAGATCGTATCTCTCCTCAAAATAATACTGAGATACAAAATAAATAAAAATTCAAGAAACTTAAATAATTTTAAGTGAAAAATTAAACTAGTAGTAAAATTAAATAGTACATTGCCAGGAGAAGGTTCATGTCCGTTCCAGAAAACGTAGGTGTCGATAACATCCAAGCCTCCATCTTTTGCTTTTGTATGAGGCCTTCCCACATCTGCAGCAAAACCCAATTCATGATTTGTCCAACATACACAAAAAATATCACAAAAATCACGTTTTTATGATTTTGGGATGGTGAAACAACGGCAAGTGATTTCCGCATACGATATTTTTTGTCCATGCACAGTACTATATTCTTGAATTTTAATGAAATATTAAAAGAGAATCGAGCGAAAAATAAACAGTAGCGTGCATAATGAGAAAAAAACCATGCGGAAATCATTTTCAGACAAAAAAATGAGAGAGAGAGAGAGAGAGAGAGAGACTTCAGGGGTGCTTCTGGGATAATGAATGGATCCAGAAATGAGCAATCTTCTCTGGCCATTGATGAGAATGGCCTTCTTGTCGTAGGTGACGGTGGTGCAGTGGATGAGCTCAGAACCCAAGAACAATGCCATCGACAAGAACAAGACTAAGAGCTTGGAAACCGAGTGAGTTTCCATCTCTGAGAAGTGAGAATGTTGGAGGGAAATCTAGAAAATGTGTATATGGGTGTGTGGAAACTGGAAAGGTGAGAGAGAAGCTCTGAGTTTAAATTCTGAATTCTGGTCCATAAAACTCTGCAGTGACAGGATGACATTGACAGTTTAATTTTGGTGGGTTCCATAAAATTCTGGTCCATAAAACTCTGCAGTGGCAGGATAACATTGACAGTTTAATTTTACTGTGAGGTTTTGGTTTCGATTGTACTTAAATTAGCTGTGTGATTGTGACTTTTAACCACATTGTTAAATATTTGGTGGGTTCAGCTGGGAGGTGGAAAGTTGAGTTTAATTAGTAATTAATTAGTTAGTTACTAGAAATGATTTTATTTTGAATATGACAAAACACAAACATATATTATTAGTCTTTAAATCTCAGTAGTTGAGGTGGATTAGGCTCATGATGTAGCCACATACTTTTAAAATCATGTAAAAACAAAATCTCATGCTTTCTTTCCCATGCCCATATAATGCATTGTAACATTTGATTCAAAAAAATGTGGTGACCCTCTATAATCTCTTTTTAATTTTTGATCATCAGATTAAATGAATTGTAAAAAGATAAAAATATGTGAGTAGATACCACCGCCTTATGAACAGTCTTGTCTTGTAGTTGTTTGCTTTGCTAGCACCTACCCTACCCTACCAAAGCCACATCTCATCAATTATTTAACATATTATGTATGCTTGTGACTCCATGAGTAAGCAAAAGCCTTGTCTTCTATTCTATATGTCCCATGGGTTTACTTACTGCACCATGTGATCTATCTTTGTTTTCTTCTATATTTAATATGACATTATACAATACACTTCTCCTTCTACATTTTAAAACCCAAACCCAAACCTTTTTAAATCCAACTATGGTGGGTTGGTTGGATGGTCATGAACTTGAGAACAACTTATATAAAACGAATTTTTTGTTACTGTTGTTTCTCAATTTAATAATTATGTTTTACAAAAAGAAACTTAAACACAATAATGCAATAAAAATGGCTCATGTAAGTCTTTGCTCGTGAGCTAGAGAAGTCATGGTGTTTCACTAAACAAATCATGCGTCCTCTCTATTTCTTATCACGTAAAATTAAATTAATTATAACACGCGAATACATACATCCGCCGATTACCAACTATAGCTCGCGCACGTGCATATATGCACCATCGCATTTGAGATACTAATAATAATGTTTAGGTTGAGATAAACTCTGCACCATCTTACTTTCTACCTGTCTCCCACAGATATTAAAGGAGTATGATTCTCTCTCATTTTTTTTCCCTCTCTTTCTCTCTTCTCATATTTGAACGGTCACGGTTAAGCCACGTCAATATTTTATATTAATTTTTTATAACAAGAAAAGAAAAAAGAAAAAAAAAAAGAAAATGTAAGAGGAGAGGATGAAAGGGGATGAAAAGAAGAGGGGAGATAATCGTAGTCCGATATTAAAAGGGACCTGGCTTCTCTACCCTTCCAATTCCCATACACTATCAATCTATCATCCTCTCCTATTTGTGCGGTTACGATTAAGCCACATCAATATTTTTTGTCTTATTATTTTTATAAAAAAAATCAATATAAAATATTAACATGATATAAATATTATCGCATAAAATAAAAGGGGTTAGAAGTGTACGAGAAGAGAAGCGGGCGGACAGAGAAGCCGGATTCTATTAAAAGGGGAAAGAAAGGAGGTTGGATGCAGAAGAAGAAGACTGAGACAGCGGGCGGGGGCCACCAGTGCTGATCGAATTTTGCGAATTCTTTCCTTCTTTCTGCGACACTGGTCCACGCCTTTGACTCCTCACTCGCTTTTTTAAACCCTAACCATCATTTTTATTTATTTATTTATTTGTAATTTTAGGCAAACCTACTTAACTTCGGTTTCACTCTTTTGGGTTTCATTTAATATGGTCGTGATTATTGTTGGAATTTGGAAATTCCTAAAAAAAAAAATGTATAAAATGCTTTTCATATTTTAAATAGTAGAAACAATGATTCTCTCTTAGTTAGGCTATGAAAGGCATGTGGTGAATGTATATTTTTACTTGAATTACAAGTATTTTTTTTAAAATTATTATCATTAAGGAAATGGGAGTTTGAAATTATTACAATAACTTAGAGAAGAGGAAGTTCGAACCCGAACATATGGATGGAAACTCAACATTTTATAGGATATTGAACTATATACATTGAATTACAAGCATGAAATGTAAACATTTAGAGAAAATATTAAGAAGATTCTCTCAAAGTGAAATTCTCTATAGACTCTTTGTCATCTTATTTTTTAACGTCAATTCTCATACCAATATTTGTGCAAAAACATAAGTTGAGAAGGATCCATGAACTTTTAAGAGTCTATTTATCATTCTCAAACATTTATGAAAATGATGTGTGAACGATGTGGACTATACTATTTGATACAAGCGGTATTAAAGAGAGAGAATACATACACAAAACCTATGTGTGAATAAACGTTCATAATTAACCACTTGAGTTATAAATCTTTATCTTCTATATGGTAATCCATACTTTAGTCAACACGTTAATATAACCTTTTTGGCATGCGATTGTTATTTAAGTTTGATGATTATATAATGAGACCTTCTAATCAAACTAAACCATCATCATCATTTCATATCTTAAACAAAAAAAGTAGCACTTTGAAATTAACGCAGATCCAGCTGTCTACTCTAAGTCCAAAAAAGGACGAAAAAGCAGAAAATCAATGATTTATTAAAAAAAGAAGAAGAATAATGATAGAAATTAACTTAGAGAGTGGTGGGTCGCAATTTTTTTTATTGGAAATTAATGTTTTTTAAGAAGCGTGTAACGGGGCACCATTGACGCCCGTTTGTTTCCGGCCTGCACGTGAGTTGGTCCTGCGCGCTAGATCTCCGTTCCGTTTACGTCGGTGCGAATCGTTCAGCTGTACAAACAGGATCAAATCCCACTTCCATCGGCAGTCTAATTATTTTTCCCTTACACGTTTCTTTTTTTATTTAGTTCTCTTTTTTCAATATAGTTTAGTTAAAAAATTAAAAGGACTTTAATCTAAGAAAACACAGAGTGGTCATGTCAGAGTCATGATCACATAGGGTTACTAATACTATATAATTGATATCTCATAATTTTATTTTTTATATATAAATAAATATTATAACATGAGCGAATCGGTAAAATCATGTCACATTACTTTTGCGGGATACTCCTACCAATTTTCTCACTAAAAAGGTTACTATGGAAAGCCTAGGCCTCTGCGCACAAACTTTTTCCTGGGTTGTGTTTTTGTGACAGTTGAAAAAATAAAAAAGAGATCGCTGCTAGAGCACATCTCACAAAACATGAAAGGTCGTGAATTTTGGTCATATTTAGAATCGTGTTACTGGTATTTGGCATGAGAACTACCATAATTAGGCCATTCTATCAAAATTTCTCTACTCACGCATATCTTTTCCTGAGAGTACCCACTGAAAGAATAGAAAAGAGATCCTTAGTTTCCCGCAAAAGAATGAGACATCATGTATTTTAGTTCCCCTCGACTCATACTGAAAGAATGGGAAAGGAACCATTGGGCTACAATCGCCTCTCATGTTGAGGCTTAAAGCCCGAATTGGATATGGGCTGGAATAATTTATGATGGACTCCAAAATCGAGAATTAGGCCGGATTCATATACTTGTTCATTTGGGCTCAAATTTCTATGTCTGTTCAATCATATGGGCCGGCCCATATTTCAATAATTTGTTCTCAAGGATATAAATGTAATTACAACACCCTACCCACCACCTTTGAGCTTCCCCATCGCTTTCGCCCGCCGTGCTGTGGGTAGAGGACTCCGTCGTCGTTGTGGCAGTGTCTCATCTCTCATGCAGTGCCTTTTCCACCCTCCCCGTCGAACCCGATCCGATATCTACCACTTTCTGCTCTCTCTTTTTTTTTTTCTTCTCAGAAGGACAAAAGTTGACCAGACGAATTGTCCCGGGTCAAAAACAGAAACGAACGTGATGAAGAAGAGGATTCTGGGTATCTTCCTGTACCAGAAATCATAATCACCAGAAAAGAAGAACATTTCTGTCTGAATTCTGACGAAATAACTAATGATTGAGAAATGTCCCATCACGTTCACATAGTACGTGTCCCATCGACCACGTACGATGCGCCATGCATACAATGCTTTCCATATATTCCAAGAAATCGGAATAAAGCACTCTTTTGCGTCACGGCGTAATCCTTTCCTCCAATGCTCAGTGAGAAATTTACGTATGTTTTTTTCTTGAGGTCAGAACTCAGAAGTGAACAATTGTTTGGTTCGTTGTACTTTGACCCCATTAGCAACATAGTATAGAGAATAATTAGCTTCCTCCACACGTTTTGTAATATGTAGACATAAGGTATTGTCTTGATTCATTTACCCACGCACGCTTTGTTTTTGTATAAATACGTAGCTCAGCCATATCATTCTTCAGAATGCAGCATTCAAGTATTCAACTGCATTCATACACTCACAAGCTCTCACCTTCTCAATCTCCTTCATTTGATCACTAATCCAAAATGGTAAGTTGGTAACCATTTATTTTGAAAATATTTTACGTGTAGGAAGTTTGGTTTTTATCAAAAACGAACGCGTATTGATAGATGTGTCGATAACATGTAGGTAAGTTTTGTTGGGGTCACTAATATTGATGACATATTGGCAATCCGTCCCACAACTGGACTAATTTGTTTTGTGTGATTTATTGTATTTTGATTAGAACTTGAATTGCTGTTGTTTATGTATAACTGACTGGTTAGAGATGGACGTTAATTGTGGCAGAGTGCTGAGGGATCTGACAAGAAATCCATATCAGTTGGGCCGTGGGGAGGTCACAACGGGCTCATTTGGGATGACAGAGTTCGCTCAACTGTGAAGCAGCTGGTGATAGCTCATGGAGCTGCCATTGACTCTATCCAGATTGAATATGATGAGAGAGGAAGCTCAGTTTGGTCAGACAAGCATGGTGGAAATGGAGGCTGGAAAACTGACAAGGTTAGTTAATTAGTCCACATTTCTCCCACCCCCCAATTCCACTCGGTACGACATGCCCTAGTCAGACAGCCCCTAACAAATTTATTCTCCTGCTGCAGGTGAAGCTTGCTTCTCCAGAAGAATTTTTAACTTCAATCGAGGGATATTACGGTAAGATAAGCGAATGGGGACCGATCACAGTTCGATCTCTCACTTTCAAGAGCAACAAAAGAACTTATGGACCGTTTGGGGTCGAACAAGGAACCTATTTTTCACTCCAGGAGACAGCTTCGAATATTAAGATTGTTGGGTTCCATGGCATGTCTGGCCGGTATCTTGATTCAATAGGCGCTTACGTAAAGCCTATTGATCAGAATGAACAAAACCAACACGCGAAAACTCTGCTTCGGACACCGTTCAATTATCCGACTATTGGTACTGATCAGAACCTTGCTGGCTACTCACTAATCCAAAACTGTAACGTGCTTTTTGCTATAACGCCGAAGGATGACTCCACTACTAAACCAGCTGCAGTACCAGTACCCAAAAAGCTCTCAGGGCAGTTTTCTGATTCCGAAACAAGTGATGATGTAGGAACCAAACATAAGCTGGTAAGGAAAATTTCACCTTTTTCGTTAGGCTGTGGCCTTTTCGGGTTCAATTTGAAAATATGCCATCTTAACAAGTAGTTGTTTATTTCAGACGACGAATATTGAGAAGTTTCCCACAAAAGTTGAAGGGATGGTAGCGTATGGCCCCTTCGGAGGGACGGGTGGTGCAGCATTTGATGATGGAATTTATTCGGGGATTAGACAAATCAAGTTATCAAGAAACATCGGTGTTGTATACATAAAGGTTCAGTATGACCACAATGGTGAAGCTGTTTGGGGAGGCAGACATGGCGGGACTGGAGGATTTAAAAGTGACAAGGTGAAGAATTAGTACTTAATTAAGCTAGTCTTACAAATTGAGTACAATTTACTTCACACAATATATTATGCTGATGCTGATCCTATTTGCGTTGTACATGTATCTGCAGATAGTTTTTGATTACCCGAACGAGATCTTGACGCATATAACAGGAACATTTGCACCTACAAATTAAAGGTCATGCGGACTAGTGTTATCAAGTCCCTCACTTTCCACACCACGAAGAAGCAGCATGGGCCGTATGGAGAAGAACAAGGAGCCTGTTTCACAACCAAGCTTAAAGAAGGGAAAATCGTCGGAATTCATGGGAGGAATGGTCTGTTCTTAGATGCTCTTGGGGTCCATGCCATAGAAGGAAAGGTCCATATTGTAGAGACAAAGACACCAACTCTCACAAATACTCCTAATATTCCCGACGGTCACACTGACCACAAAAATAAGACACCAACTGTCACAAATACTCCTAATACTTTCACTGCAATGATCCCAAAGGAGCATGCAGGGGCAATTACTGAGATAGATAATCCTCACTGGACAAATAAACTACTAATGACAAACAGAGGAAAAGTCGAAGAGGTGGTTAAGTTTAATCCGATTCCGTTATAAGACAATTCGATATTGAGCATGTACTAACTATATTAGTAATTCTGTGTTTGGCCAGGTTGCTTATGGGGTGATAAAAGAACCAGCTCCGTGTGGACCGGGACCTTGGGGCGGAGATGGAGGTAGAGCATGGGATGATGGAGTGTTTTCCGGGATTAGTCAGATTCATTTGACAAGAGAAGCAGAAGGCATTTGCTCAGTGCAGATTGAGTATGATCGAAATGGTCAATTCATTTGGTCTGCTAAGCATGGAGGCAATGGAGGAACTTCCCCACATAGAGTACGAATGCTTTATCAACATCTTCATCAATTTGATTGTTTTTTTTTTTTTTTCGCGATATCATAAACAACTGTTATCTTAGAATCTACGGGGAAGGAGATTTGAACTTTGGTGCAAGTGGGCGGACATACAGCCCTGACTGACTGGCTTTCTACTTATCGTTTGCTTATCCCTCTTCAAGAAGTACTGATCATATGTCTCAAGCAATAATTGGAGTTCATAGAGCAGGGAAAATAAAATAGTTTTTGACTCGTGGTAACATTTGCTTATGTGGTTTAGTCGGTCTTGATTTTTATTTTATTTTATTGTTATATTTAAGTGAGTCGAACTTTGAACTATTTTAGTCGACTTATGGTGTTATTTGGTGGGATTCTAGACTCATCTCCCGTCCTCTTAATTAAAAATAAGAATGTGATCAATACATGGTGATTATTTTGTTGTTATTGACATGTGATATACTCAATTTTTATTATCTAATTAATTGATGTGGTATATTGTTTTTTAAGTTGCTCTTTCCTATTTTTCTATATTTTGATTTTGTACGCATTGACACCGTTGCATATGAAGAAAACTTGAATCAGAGCCCATAACGATTTTATTAATTTAATCTATTCAAAAAATTCGTTGATGAGATATCACGTCATCAATTACTTTTTAAATAAAATTGTGTTGACAAATAATATCGATAGTTATACGTTGATAATATAAACGACATGTCCATGGCTGATGGCCTTATACATAGAGTGAATTTTTGCTCACCATCATTTAATGTGGTATATGCTCATCATCTAGCCATTATACACCATCATTTAATATGGTATATGCTCATCATTCTATTTATCACCGTTAGATGAGTTTGAATTTTGAGATTTGTACTTATCTACTACACGAATCTCGAAATTCAAACTCATTTAACGATAATAAATATGATAGTAAGTATACACCACACTAAATTGTGATAAGCAAAAATGCTCCCCTCATACATAAACTTGTTGGACAAGGTATGTTTCCACGTGGCGCAATGACAATATTGTAGAGGGGGAAGTATCCATTGCAATTTGCAATGCGCGCGGGATCCACTTCCAACGGACACAACAACTCTACAATCTTCTATCCACGCTTTTCACCTCATCTTCCAGACATGAACTGAAACAAATAGCGCCCGAAAAAACCAAGTGCTTCAAGTTTCGAGCTTTCAGCAATGGAGAATTTTACAATCCCCTGCAAATCAAGCTCTCCAATACCCATGGTACCCTCCAAATTCAGCAACCCATCTAAATTCTTGCCACGACAAACCAAACCCACAATGTCCTTTTCCAGAAAAACCCTCCCGAAATTCACAGACTCTCACTTGAATTACCTCCGCAAGAATGGCGAGTTCACGGAGGCCGTCACCGTTCTTGACTCCATTGCCAAAAGTGGGTCGAAGGTAACTTCCACTACTTACATGAATTTACTTCAATCCTGCATTGACACCAATTCTATTCAACTGGGTCGGAAGATCCATGAGCGTATTGATGTAGTTGAGGAATTGAACCCGTTTGTTGAGACGAAGTTGGTGAGCATGTATGCGAAATGCGGGTTTTTGGATGATGCGCGCAAGGTGTTCTACGCAATGCGTGAGAGAAATTTGTACTCTTGGTCGGCCATGATCGGTGCGTGTCTTAGAGATCAGAGGTGGAAAGAGGTGGTGGAGCTTTTTTACTCGATGATGAGAGATGGGGTTTTGCCGGATTACTTTCTGTTCCCTAAGATATTGCAGGCTTGTGGGAATTGTAGCAATTTCGAGGCCACGAAATTGATACACTCCATTGTGGTTCGGTGTAATTTGGCTAGTTTTATTCATGTGAACAATTCGATACTGGCGGTGTACGCAAAGTGTGGAAAATTAAAGAGGGCAAGGAGGTTCTTTGACAACATGGATGAGAGGGATGGGGTGAGTTGGAATGCAGTTATATCTGGTTACTGTCACAAGGGTGAGACTGAAGAGGCTCGGAGACTGTTTGATGCGATGAGCAAGGAAGGGATTGAACCAGGGTTGGTAACTTGGAATACATTGATTGCTAGTCATAACCAGTTAGGGCATTGTGATGTCGCAATGGAACTGATGAGGAGGATGGAGAGCTGTGGCATAACTCCTGATGTATATACTTGGACTTCTTTGATTTCGGGATTTGCACAAAACGACAGGAAAAATCAGTCTTTGGATTTGTTCAAGAAGATGCTTCTGGCAGGGGTACAACCAAATGGGATTACAATCACTAGTGCAATCTCAGCATGCACATCTTTAAAATTACTCAACAAAGGGTTGGAAATCTATTCTATTGCTATAAAGATGGGTTTCATTGATGACGTACTGGTTGGAAATGCACTTGTTGATATGTTTTCAAAATGTGGGGAACTGGAAGCTGCTCAGAAGGTCTTTGTTATGATCCCAGAGAAAGATGTCTATACCTGGAACTCAATGATAGGAGGATATTGCCAAGCTAGATACTGTGGTAAGGCCTATGAACTGCTCATGAAGATGCAGGAATCAGATGTGCATCCCAATGCTGTGACCTGGAATGTGATGATCACAGGATACATGCAGAATGGAGATGCGGATCAAGCAATGGACCTCTTCCAAAGGATGGAAAAAGATGGGAAAGTTAAACGAAATACGGCATCATGGAACTCTCTTGTCTCTGGCTACCTGCAACTTGGGGAGAAAAACAAGGCACTTGGGGTATTCAGGCAGATGCAGGCCTACTGTGTTAATCCTAATTCTGTTACTATATTGAGTGTCCTGCCTGCTTGTGCAAATCTAGTTGCCACGAAAAAGGTGAAAGAGATCCACGGTAGTGTATTGCGTAGAAATTTGGAGTCCGAAGTCCCTGTTGCAAATTCCCTGATAGACACCTATGCCAAATCGGGAAATATAGCATATTCAAGAATCATATTTGCTAGAATGCCATCCAAAGATATCATCACTTGGAACTCGGCAATTTCTGGTTGTGTCTTACATGGTCTTTCAGACATTGCACTTGACCTTTTTGATCAGCTGAAGAAGTCGGGGTTTAAACCAAATAGAGGTACCTTTACAAGTATCATATATGCATACAGTCTTGCTGGAATGATAGATGAGGGAAGACAAGCTTTTTACAGCATCAGTGAAAACTACCAAATCATACCAGGTCTAGAACATTATTCAGCCATGGTAGATCTTTTTGGGCGTTCTGGAAGGCTTCAAGAAGCAATGCAGTTTATTGAAGATATGCCCATAGAACCAGACTCCTCTATTTGGGCTGCCTTATTTACCGCATGTAGGATTCATGGGAATCTTGCCTTGGCAGTTCGTGCAGGGGAGCATTTAATCGACTTGGAACCAGGAAATATTTTGGTTCAACAGTTACTTCTACAGTCATATTCTTTATGTGGTAAGTCTGAGGACACTTCAAAATTGAAAAAGTTTGGTAGAGATGCTGCAATAAAGAAATTTATTGGGCAGTGCTGGATTGAGGTAAAGAACTCGGTGCATACGTATGTTGCAGGTGATAGGTTGGAACTATGCTCAAACTTTCTAAATTCATGGTTACAAAACATAGAAGAAAAAGCAAAGAGACATGATTTTGGTAATGAGCTTTGTGTTGAGGAAGAAGAGGGGGGTATCAGCTGGGTCCATAGCGAAAACCTGGCATTTGCTTTTGCCCTCATTGGCTCCCCAAGTGTACCTAAGAGTATTAGGATGGTGAAGAATCTGAGAATGTGTGGAGACTGCCACAGGATGGCGAAGTATATATCTATGGCTTTCGGGTGTGAGATATATTTGAGCGACTCAAAGTCCTTTCACCATTTTAGTAATGGCCGTTGTTCATGTGGTGACTATTGGTAGAGGATCCTCGGGGAAAAGCATGAAAGGGGGAAGTTGTTCATGTGGTGACTATTGGTAGAGGATCAATTTCAGTGAAACAGGGCGTCTTCGAGGTACAACTCCAGTCACAAGCTAACATTATTTTGCCGTTATTGACAAAGCTGAAGAGGGGTGGTTGATCTTTATGGGATTTGTAACCATGAGGACAGCAGCGCTAGAGTCACATTCAACTCCAATACATTTTCTCTTAGCGAAGCATAGGCTTCGATGTACCTCCGTAACTCTACCTCAATAACAGATCCAAGGCCATGGCTCAGAGAGAAGCGCCTTCGGCTCCCTTCCATTTCCATTGCGCAGAACTCCACCTGCTCCGGCGTGGCCTTGCTATCCTCTGCAACCACCATATATTTAAGCTTAAACCAACATTTAGGAGGGGGAAGCCAACGAAGGACTTCGATCTGCCTAGAGGATTTAGAAAATGGCTTGGGTGGGACCTGATTTCAACGCATTCCAAATTTCCCTCTTCATTTGTTAATAATAAGAAGAAAAGTCGCTAAACGTCCTCATTGCATGTAACAGCTCGTTCATTCTTAAAAACCAATCACAGTGTGATGCGTGTCCATAAATTTATGCTCATATATTGCCCCCGAAAGCAGGGTACAGGCCCTTGTTACCCTCCTATTTCAAGCCCAAATTGCTCATTGACAGGTTTGGATCTGTTGTGTTGTGCTACTGGCCCAATTTCTCATGAAGTCCCTTACAAACTACGTAATTACCATAAGGGAACAAACTTGGAGCTTGGAATCAAATTAGGTTCTCTCTCCTTTTTGGGTCAATATTGGAGCTTGGAATCGGTTTTGATATACAAAACCCTCCCAATGTTATGGCATATATGCATTGTTATTCTGCGATGGTTTATCGAATCCAAACCTTTGCTTATGAGTGAAGAGTTTTAGGTTCAAATCTCGTCAATTATGAGTGAAAAATCTTAGATGCGAATCTCGTGAATGGTGAGCTCGATATTAATTTGTTTCCCTTACTTCCTTATGATATGTATGTCAATGGATTAAAAAAAAAAAAAAACTAATGAAAATGGCTTGAAAACTTTGAATTTTAACGATAAGGACAAAATAAAGGGTAAAGTGAATAGTACCAAGATTGATTTTTTAGTGTAAAAATATGGTTTTTCGTTAAAGTGAACAGTAATGTGGACTTTCCGTTAAAACTCTCTTAAAAAAAACAGAAAAGATGAAGAACATGGGCTCTTATTAGGGCCACCTACAACAGCCCGAATTATCGGGCAGGCTAAGGAAAGCAAAGTGATGGGTTTTTGAGCCATAGGCCAGTTGTCTTAATGGGCCAACTTCTCATAAAGTCCGCAAAACATGAAGAGGTGCAAACGGTTGAACCCGGTCCAGACGTTCAGATTTCCCAGGTTTGTTATTAGTCACAATCGCGTTGTTGGTGTTTGAAAAAATATGATAGGATTTAGCCTAACATTTCAAGAAAAAGTAGTGTTGCTGTTGAGAAATTCACGTAAAGTTATTTAGAGAATGATATATTAGTGAAAGTTTCCTACATGATGTGGCCGTAAATAGGGGCGAAGCTATAAATAAAGTTCATGGATGGCACAATTAATCAGTGGTGGGTGCATCTTCTCGTGGAATTCAAAAAAAGAGTGCG